CTGCCTGGTTTCTGGGAGGCACAGGTTAGGGCCACAGAGTCTGGCCCAGTTTCCCTTCCAGGGCCCCACAGAGCCCAGGCTCACCCTTTTGTGCCTGTTCCCACTCCTGGGAAGAGTAGCTAATTGGCCACAGGCCCGTTCCCCTTGTAGACAGCTGGGAGCAGGGGGGCGACCCTCTCGTTGGTTGTAGGCAACCTTCCCGGCTAGCTGGGACTTGAACCCTCACAATTCTGGCTTGGTGAGCAGGGTGGGGCTGGCACAATTGCCTTTGACATGGACACATATTTTTTGAGCACGCTCTGTGCACCAGGCCCTGTACAAGTCATACATCTTGAGAGGCAGTGAGATGAGGAAAAGTCACCCAGCTTACCAACAACACCAAGTGCAGGGGGGGGGGCGGGTGCACAGGCTAAGGGGGCAAAAGGGCAGGGTTTCAGTTGTTCCTTGCAGAATGGAGGTGGGGTGGGGCAACTGAAGCGGGAGGAAGGAGGCGGGAAGGCCTCCAACTAGATCAGAAAAAGCAAAGCATGCAATGGCTGGAGAAGCTAGGGCTGGCTGCCCAGAGCTCTCATATAAGAGAGAAGATCAAAAAGGGAGACTCGGGGTCAAGCTGCCCTTTCCCAGAGGGAAAACTGCTGTCCCTGGGGCCATGGTGGCTTTGGCAGCCCAGACGGGGAGGAGTGAGCTGAGTTCTCACTTCCTGCATTTGCTTCTTCTAGGGCAACCCTGGGCCCCCTGGACCCCCTGGACCTTCTGGAAAAGATGGTCCCAAAGGTGCTCGAGGAGACAGTGGACCCCCCGGCCGAGCTGGTGATCCTGGCCTCCAAGGTCCTGCCGGAGCCCCTGGCGAGAAGGGAGAGCCTGGAGATGATGGTCCCTCTGTAAGTCCCTCATCAGGCCCAGGCCAGCCCAGGGCCGAGGGTGTGAGAGGCTTCTGAGCCCACGGAGTACGGAGTCGCGGGGTGCAGTGGCTGTGGGTATGGACGGAGGGGGCGCAGTGCAGAGAAGTATGCTGCGAGGGCAGGGGGAGTGCTGCTCCCTGCAGAGCTGGCATCCAGGCTGGTGTGGGTAGAACCGACTCTGTGTCAGCTCTCAAGTTCTCATCTCCTGCCTCTTCTATTAGGGTCCCGATGGTCCTCCAGGTCCCCAGGGTCTGGCTGGTCAGAGGGGCATCGTTGGTCTTCCTGGGCAGCGTGGTGAGAGAGGATTCCCCGGCTTGCCCGGCCCATCGGTGAGTGATGGCTGCCCCTTCCTCTGGGTGAGCTGGGCCCAGCCTGGCTCAGGCCATAAGCTCTTCACTCAGTGCTCGGTGTGGTGGCCGAAGCAACACCACCCGACGCTTCTACCCACTCGGCACTCTTGGAACTGTCCCTTCATTAGCCCTTTCCTCAGAGAGGCTCAGCGGGGTCATGGGCAGAGACCCTTAGTGGGCACACTCATCATCCTTGTCATTGTCCTTTCAGGGTGAGCCTGGCAAGCAGGGAGCTCCTGGTGCATCTGGAGATCGAGGTCCCCCTGGCCCCGTGGGTCCTCCTGGCCTGACTGGTCCCGCTGGTGAACCTGGACGAGAGGTGAGTGGTGGGACCCACCACGGGGAGGCCCTTACTAGGGAGAGGAGCCCCGTGCAGATCTCAGTGCCGGGCCAGCCAGGCCAAGTGCTGGTGCCCTGGAGAAGGGGATGACAGGATGGGCTGTTAGGCCCAAGTGCCCAGGTGCAAAAGAAAGGTTGTGATGGGTGAGAGAAGGGCACAGAGACTTAGAACTGGTACATGGGGAGGAAGGCAGAAGGAAGCTCACTGAGAAAGCTTTGGACAGAGGGAACAAGCCTGGGGCTTCTGAGGGAAAGATGGGGAGCTGGGGGGAGACGGGCGGGGGCAGCTCTAATGGCATCTTGTTTCCCGTTGTCCAGGGAAGCCCTGGTGCTGATGGCCCTCCTGGCAGAGATGGTGCAGCTGGAGTCAAGGTGAGTATCTGGGGGTCTCTCGGTGTGCAGTGGGACTGGGAGGACATTCCATTGGGCCTAACAGGTCAGCCTGGGGTAGCAGGTTGGGGTCAGAGTCTTGTGTCACTCTGGAAGGATCTTTTTTCCTTGCCTCTTCTGAACCATTTTTCTCTGAGCCTGAGACCTCTCTCCTGACAGGGTGATCGTGGTGAGACTGGGCCCCTGGGTGCTCCCGGAGCCCCTGGGCCCCCCGGCTCTCCTGGCCCCGCTGGCCCAACTGGCAAACAGGGAGACAGAGGAGAAGCTGTGAGTATCGTGGGAACAACAGTCTCGGTGCCCAGCCCAAGGGCAGGTAAAGAGGAGGGCCGTCCCTGTTCTGGCCTGGCTCTGACACGGCTCCCACTCTCTCCTCACAGGGTGCACAGGGCCCCATGGGACCCTCAGGACCTGCTGGAGCCCGGGGCATCCCAGTGAGTATTCAAGCGTCCTGCGCTGGGTCTCTGAGAGAGGCAGGCTGGGAGGGCAGCAGGGGCCCTGTGGGTCCTGGACTCCTTGGCTTGGGTGAGGCCAACAGAGGGCTCTTGCCCAGCCCGATCCGACCCAACCCAACCTGTGTCTGTCTGTCTTATTTCCAGGGCCCTCAAGGCCCCCGAGGTGACAAAGGAGAGACTGGAGAGGCTGGCGAGAGGGGACTGAAGGGTCACCGTGGCTTCACTGGTCTGCAGGGTCTGCCTGGCCCTCCTGTGAGTGTTGCTGTTTGTGCTTGGCTCCCCAAGGCCTCCCACTGCTCTGAGCACACTTAAGCTTCCCATGCTGTTAAGACAACTTGGGATCATCCTAAGTAATTTCTAGGACTTCCTTAGGCCTGGAGGGAAGAGCAAGTGGAAAGGGAATAGGGGTGGGACATGTATTACCTCCACCAACTCCATATATATATTCAAGAAGGCTTCCCATCCTAGAAGAGGGGGCCCTGTCTGTGCTGACCTCTGACCTTTGCCTCTTCCCCCTGCACAGGGTCCTTCTGGAGACCAAGGTGCTTCTGGTCCTGCTGGTCCTTCTGGCCCTAGAGTAAGTAAACAAGTTCTTCCTCAGGGGTAGGGCCCGGGCACTGGACGGGTGTCCGATGGGGAGCGAAATGTTGCTGCTTCTGGGAAAGCCCGGGCTCAGGGGGCCTGAGCAGGACAGATGGGACTGGCTCGGTGTGACTGTGGCCAGAAAAGTACCCGAAATCACAGGCAGGATGGACCTGAGAGCAGCTCTTGGCTGTCAGGGCCCCTGGGAGCAGGATTTTAGAAAGAGGAGCATAGGAGGGCAGGAGAGCCATGAAGCCATCCTTCTGGCTCTTGGTCAAATAGAGAGCAGTTCAGGCTTCCACGACTGAGAACTGCGAAGAATTGGGAACAGAGCGGCTAGTGCTATTAGGGTGGCCACCTAACCAGCCCCCCCAGCTCCTCGCCGACCTTCCCTTTGCTGAGGGCTCTTCTCTCACTGCCTTTCTTTCCTGGCTTGCAGGGTCCTCCTGGCCCCGTTGGTCCCTCAGGCAAAGATGGTGCTAATGGAATCCCTGGCCCCATTGGACCTCCTGGTCCCCGTGGACGGTCCGGTGAAACAGGCCCCGCTGTAAGTGTGCTGAGTCCTTCCTGCTTCCTGAACTCTCTGGTGCTAAGGGCCCCTTTTGGGGTATCAGCCTGCAGCAAATGGTGATGGCACCCTTTATCCTGGGGTCTCCTTGGAGGTTCAAAGGGCCNTCTCTCCCCCAGGGCGAGCCTGGGAAAGCTGGTGAGAAAGGACTGCCTGGTGCTCCTGGTCTGAGAGTAAGTACCCTTCCCACAGTGGTGCCTTGGTGTAGGCTGGACATCCACGAGGGAGAGATGTCCCCACGGCATGTTCCTGGGACCCCTAGCTAGCAGTGTGGCTTCCTATGGCTGAGTCCGTCTGCTTTGGGCACTTGAGGAGTTTACACGGACGGACTTCTGGTTGCATTCAGTCAGTAGCAGCCCAGGGAGGTGGGGGAGCCCCTTGTACTGAGAAAAACCGAGGGGTCAGGCAAGGAAGGGGAGGGAAGGGATAGACATGGAGTTTAGGTCAGGGATTGTGGAGTTCTGGAAACTCTGGGCCACAAGAAGTGCACTCGCCCAGTCCTGGGGGTCTGTAGAACTGAAGAAAAGTATGTCATTACATCACTCTTCCCTTTTCCCTCTAGGGTCTTCCTGGCAAAGATGGCGAGACAGGTGCTGCAGGCCCCCCTGGACCCTCTGTAAGTACCTGCTCACCCTTTCCAGGTGGCCCCGTGGTCAGGAGCTTGGTGGGGTGGAGGCAGGTAGACCTTAGGCCCACTCGGTAATGGAGCTGACAGCTGTGCGCCTGATCCAGGACGGCAGACCCACTCTGAGCGGTGGCAGAGTGCCCCACCCCGAAGAAGCAGTGGGGACCCCATCCTGGTTGTCATCGGTGGGAGGACAGCAAAGCACATAGGCGTGTACACCTTGCTTGGGCAGTGCAGGAAGGTGTCTGTCCTGTCCTCTTGTGGCCACCCCCAGGGCCTCCAGTGGAGGTTCCCGGGTGCTCTGGAGTGCTGGCATGACCCGCCTTTGTGTCCTCTGCAGGGACCTGCTGGTGAACGAGGCGAGCAGGGTGCTCCTGGGCCATCCGGGTTCCAGGTAGGTGTCTGAACCAGGCCTTCTCAGTCGTCCCTTTCCCTGCTCGGGGCTCAGTAGGGCAGCACGGTGGGTGGAGGGCCTGCCCCCCTCGAGGGGGACCAGGGGAATAAGGCTTCCCAGAAAACTCACGCCTTTGCTGATGCTTGTCATTTTGGCTTCTAGGGACTTCCTGGCCCTCCTGGTCCCCCAGGTGAAGGTGGAAAACCAGGCGACCAGGTGAGTATGGGGCTCTTTGAACCTGCAACCTGTTTAGCTGGGAAGATGTCTTCTGATGCTCAGGAGACAAGGACAGGAGGGCATGAGGGGCCCCATTGAGGCCCAGGGTGTCTGGGACTGCATCGCGGCTCTCCAAGATGACCGCCTGAGGTCAGGGGCAGGGATGCTCAGCCAGGGCTTGGGCATAAAAGCCTTCAGTCTCTCACACATCCTTCTTGTTCTCCAGGGTGTTCCTGGTGAAGCTGGAGCCCCCGGCCTCGTGGGTCCCAGAGTGAGTGTCCTGTTGGCCATTCCCGGTGTCTCCTTGGGCCTGCTCCCTCCCTGTGCAGTTCTGCCAGCGACTCCCAGCCGCACAGCCGCCCTGGGTCCCGGCCCCACTGTGCTCCCTACCTCCCTGCTTTTCCTTGGGCCTCCACCCCTTCTCTCGCCCTAATCGCTCCTTGGTGTCTCCGCCACAGGGTGAACGCGGTTTCCCAGGTGAACGTGGCTCTCCCGGTGCCCAGGGCCTCCAGGGTGCCCGTGGTCTCCCTGGCACTCCTGGCACTGATGGTCCCAAAGTAAGTGAGGCTGATCCTGCAGCAGGGGTCCTCGGGGCTGGCCTGGGAGGCCTGCTGAGGGAGGAAGAGGAAGGGGAGTGGGGAGGCGTGGAAGATGAGATAGAAAGGAAGTCTGGGCAGAGGAGGAAGAGAAGGAAAGTGGGGGTGGGGTTGGGGACTGGAGCCCAGAGGGAATCTGCCCACCACAGATTCCCTGTCTTCCCCCCACCCCAGGGTGCATCTGGCCCAGTTGGCCCCCCTGGGGCTCAGGGCCCTCCAGGTCTACAGGGGATGCCCGGTGAAAGGGGAGCAGCTGGTATTTCTGGGCCCAAGGGAGACAGGGTAAGTACCAGGCTGACATTCCTCCTCCAAAGCCATGCTTCCCTGCCCCCACACTCACTGCCTCTCCCGCAGTACCTGGGGGTGAAGTCCCTGGCTACCCCTTTTGAGGAACTTGGAGATCTCCCCTCCAAAGTCTCTGTTTGCCTTTTAATGACATCTTCCCCCCACCCTTCCCTCCATCTCATGCCTGTTACTCCTTGCCACTCGCCCTGAGACCACATAGCAAATCCTCTTGGCCAGGGTCTGAGCTCTGCCTGGAGCTCCATTCAGAGTGAGACTGAGCTGGCAAAGGGGGTCTTGGAGTGCCCCCCTGAGGTGTCCCATTCTCTATCCCGCAGGGTGATGTCGGTGAGAAAGGCCCTGAGGGAGCACCTGGGAAGGACGGTGGACGAGTAAGTGACTGCAGACTGCTTGCGGACTGGGAGGGGAGAGATCAGGGTATCTCCCAGCCCTGTACTTGGGAGATGGGGTCGTATGTGCGTTTGATCCCTGGTCCTATCTCAGCTGTCTGTGCTGGGTAACCACAGGGATTTCCCTGTCAAAACTGGGGGCCACAGGATGAGAGGGAGCTCAGGGGGCCACTGAGGGTGCGCCAAGGTTTATTGGGTATGGGATCCAAGCGTGTGGCCAACTCTCCCTGCCTCCCTCACCTCCTCCTCCTCTCTCTCCAGGGTCTGACTGGTCCCATCGGCCCGCCTGGCCCAGCTGGTGCCAATGGTGAGAAGGTGAGTCCTGGCCCCCTTTCTTCCCTCTGCCTCACTTCCCCCATTGAACCTCCTTTTCATAGCTTGCCAAAGGCTGTTATTTCTCCCCTGCCCTCATCAATTGTCACCCTCCTGCCCACCGGGGACTGCAAGGAGTGAAGGGTGGGGGTCTTTTTAGAAGCAAAGTCCTTGGCCGTGTGCCCTGTTGTGCGGAGCAGCTGAACTGAGGCTAAAGTGCATTCAGCGAAGGCCCCTAGGAGATTGCAAGTAGAGGCTGAAGCAATAAGGAGAAAGGCTGTGGCGGGGGCCCAGAGCCTCCCGTTCATCGTGAGGGCTTCCTGGATGCACTTTGCTCTCAAAGGGCCCCACTCTGACCCCTACCCCACTTCCCACCTTAGGGAGAAGTTGGCCCTCCCGGCCCTTCGGGAACAGCTGGTGCTCGCGGTGCCCCGGTGAGTATCTGCCCC